TGAGCGTAGCTGTTCCAAAATGTTAAGAGTAAACTAACATTGCTGCTTGTATAAAGTTTTCTTAAGCAATCCTAAATTACGCTGGACATCAATAGGTTTTCTTTTGCACAGACATGTGAAAACCGGTTATACCATGTAAATGACCATTAGCAGTTTTAATAGAAGAAAAGTGTAAGAGAAATGTTCCCTATCATTGGTAGGTCATACACATTGCCCTCTCCAGCTTATTGCTATGCTGAATAATTCTATGCATCTTGGAAACACATTGAGTGCTGCAAGTACACGGTGATGTTAAGAAACAGAGCAGTAGAAGTTGAGCTATTAAATATCTAGCTGGTATAGTTCAGGAAGTCTTTGGACAAAGGCCTGACATGAGGTCATATGGAAAATTGCCCAAAACGACAATTCTGATTAGGTGTAGGAAAGCTCAATACAGCTGGAAGAGTAGTAGGTGTTTGTATAACCCATTAAGTACAAGCTTTTGTGCAGCAGGTGAGGAAGGTCAGGACTAGGTGAGTAATAGTCATAGGCACAGCAGGATTCTCTTATGCGTAAAAATCAATGCTGAGCTGAACAATGTCACAGCAGTGTAGTTTTTAATGGAAAAATGGCAGGATTTATAAAGCTGTAGGAGAACGGCTTCTGGTAAATAGCACAGGAATTTAGTAGGTAGGTGAAGAAGTGTTGGGGTGAAGTTACTATTGGCTTTCATACATCCAGGTTTGAGGTGGGTGGGAGACCACATGGCCTTGGACTTACAGATTTTACTGATAACACTTGCTGCTAAAGGCCTTTCTATAAATGGATCATTTATAGAATCCATTTATGGCAGGTGGAGGTTTCACACTGGGGACATTGAAGAAATAGGGGCAGCAGAAGGCCTCTAGCACAAGATTGCTACGTTATTCCTTTAAAACAGAACACATATGAATTACACAGGTTTTGTGGCAAATTAAGATGGTTAATAGATTCATCTGCACAGACACAAAGCCTGTGTAATTCATTTATGTTTGATTTTAAAGAAATGAAGTGGCAACCCAATTCTGGATGGATGAAATCTGGTTATGGCTCTCTCATCTCTCAGGGTTGTCCACCATATTTACTGACATAAACCCAAGTTCTATCAGAGCAACAGAATGTAATAGGGCACATTGCAATGTATCCCATATACTCACCATGATCAGATCACCAAGGGGGGTGCTGGGGTGAGCTACGCCCCCCCAGATTCCAACTGTGCCCCCCTGCAGGCAAGCCATTGACTGTAGCCGACAAGAGAAGCTGTTTGCAGTGGCTCACACAGCCCAGCCAGCATACTCCCCTTCTCTACCTTCCCTGCATGGTCAGTAGAGGAGAGATCGATGTGCACTGCCTCCTCTTGCCGCTTTCCTCCTGCCTGTCCAATTCCCAGCCAGTGCTGAGCTTGATAAGATGTGTGGGAGGGAAATTTGAAGCACTGCAGCTGCCAACTACATGATGGCTGCTTGAATGATTCCTCTGCCTGAGCCATCATAGACCAACCTGGGGTGAGTGAGCAGAGCTCTGCGCTATGTTTGAACTCTCCCAATCTCTCTCCTTTTTCTCCCCCCCCCCCCCTCTGTTCATGTACAGATAACACTCAGGGACAACTTTGGTATTATTGGGAGATGGCTGACAATCTGCTGGTTGTATAAACTGATGGAGTAATTACTCACAAGTTTGGAATTCCTTTGTTTAACCCCTTCCTACCCAACCCCAGCATCCCTTTAGGGGCTTGTTCACATGTGCTTTGGTCTCTGAAGAGCAATATGCATTCAGATCGCTCTTCAGAGAGCATTTGGCAGACAGAGAGAAAGTGCTGTATCACCTCTTCACCATGTGCTGGAACCCCACACTATCACACTGCAACTGCGTGCATTGCACACCGTTGTGGGGTGCTTGCAGAGCAGCCTCATTCACTTGAATGGATCACATTCAGCAGGCAGGCCAGCAGTGCCAACCGAAAGAACAGTGGATATAATTCCTGCTACAGCCACAAAACATCACAGTAGCAGTATGTGTATATCCCACCCTGTGTTGCCAACCATCTGTAAATTTACAGACAGTTTGTTTAAAACAGACACTATTTCTCCTATCCGTAAATGTCCATCGACAGGAGAAATGTGCCGTAAAAAATTATTTTTCATGGGCTCTGACTGGGGGCACTCTGCTGGACTCTAATGTAAGGGGGGACTTTTGCCATACTCTGATGTAAGGGGGACCTCTGCCAGACTGTGTTGTAAGGGGGAACTCTGCAGACTCTGATGTAAAATGGTGCCACTCTGGGGACACTGATGTAAGGGAGGACTCTGTAAATGTGACACTCATCCTGACTACTGCACTTCATATGTTCTTTTATTTATTACTTACTCCTGACCCTTGTACTCTGTGCATTATGCATTGATGTACATAGCAAACAAAAAAGGAAAATTCCCAGCTCAACCTTGCAGCCAGCCTGAAACCAACTGAATTATCCTAACAGTTCACGCTAAAAACAGGGGTTTAGTTGGCACACATAGATATACATAGACCTGACCAAGGTATTCATTGTCTCAACAGTTGCTGGTTTTAATGAAATTCTTCTTTAAGGTATGCTCAGAAAGACAGCCTATATACATTAGTCAAAAATGACTTGATTCTCTCATCCACAAAATTGGTGTGGATGGGGGAACCACTCCCACTAAGGTATTATGTTCTGACAGTAAAGAGTCTTCCATGCTGCCAGAATACACTGATCAGTGCTGCCAGGTATATCCGACGGTGCTGATCATGCAGAAATTTTCCTAAAGGTTGGTTGTACAGAAGTCGAGCAGTAGATCGACTTCTGTTCAACCAGTCTTCCCATACATGGATCAAAATTCAACCAGTCCCTTCTGAACCAGATGATTTTTAAACTATGTATGGCTGCCTAAGCCAAAAATATCCTTTTTGTGTGCATAAAAACATATAAAATGGAAACATTTAATTAAAAAAAAAGTCCCTTTGCCCTGAGGTTTATTTGTGTCTGTGAGACTGTCAGTTGTGTCACAGTATTTAGTATTTTGTGGGTACAAGAACAGTACTATAGGTGTGCATTGTATACAGCAGACACAGATTCTGTTTAAGCCCCCTTTCAGACCCTCCCACTGGCCAGCCGCAGGACTTATTTCTCTGTTCTTTCCCAGGGTGCTCCATGTCCTTCATGATCCCAGTTTTGCTCACATTTTTTGAGTTTTTACTTGCAAAGCCAGTCAGATTATTTGTTATAAGTATTGTTAATATTGTCAATGTTTACATATTGTTTATACTGTTTAAAGGCTAAGTTCACCTTTAAGAACATATTACATATCCTGTGCGCTGCTGATCCCTGTACACTCCCCTTCTGACTGCCCATCCTCTGCCCTGCTGACCCACTACACACTGCCCTGCTGACCACCTTTCCAATGCCCTGCTGATGTTCCGTCCACTGCTCTGCTGACCCCCTGTACACTCCCTACAAACTTCTGATCCCTGCCCTTTGCTCTGCTAACCTCCATTCTCTGCCCTGCTGACCCCCAGTACATTCTGGTACTGATTCCTGTGTTTTGTACACTGCCCTGCTGACCTCCCATCCTCTGCCCCCCTGGCATTTTTTTACTGCACACCCACATCAGGCTGGCTAGATCCGGCCCTGGCTCAGATGATGATGCAGGCTCATTTAACTCAATTTCCCACATTCCTCTGTGATCCTGAGTGTTTCCATGGACTATGTTTGTATTTTTTCTGTAAAAGTTGGATGTGATTTTTTCAGTTCTTCCTTCTTTTTCGTAATTTTGTTGTGGAAATTCTTCGCTATTACAATAAATCTTATTTATCTAGATTTCTCAGCTTCCTTCCGTAGAAACTCCAAGAGGTCACACCTGATGAGGCAGAGGTAGCTGGGCTAGTGATCTGCAACCAGGGGAGAGACCCTCCATTGTCAGAACTGGTGCACAGTCAGGCCAGAGCCTAAGAGCACACAGTTTCTCCAAAAGGCCCAGCTGCTGTAGGGAGCACCTCCCCAATAGCTACTGGAGTACTGCAGTTCCAAGGGTTGGTACTTCATTTTTGTTCCTTGGATTTCACCAGCTGTTTTATATGTTACCAGAGCTACCCTCAACTTCAAGAATGTAATTCCCTGATTGAGTCACAGAGACATTGCTGTGATGAGTCCATGTTCTTTGCTATCCTAAGCCTGTTTTTCATTATTCTGCAGTGTATTTATGTTCTTTGGCAAATCTAGTTTGCATTATTGCTTCTAACTTTGCACCTGTTTACTAAACTGGAAGTTCCAGTTACTCCCTGCCTGATCATTTGACTGATTACATATTCTGCTAAAGCAGTAGTAGATCCCACATACACTAACTCTTTAGCCTTTGTGGAAATTTTAGCTGCGTTGTAGCTATGCCCTTAACCTCCCTAGCGGTCTGATTATGTCCATATTTCTGTGCTCAAAGCAGTACATTTTTTTGCATGGAAATGTGTATTTTTTTTATTGTTGGCCTGTAATTTTTAGGAATAACTCACTGAAATCTGTCCGAACAAGAGTCTAGTAAACATCCCGGGTATGATAAAATGTGAAACATGAAAGCATAAATTATAATTTAATAATCATAAAAAATAATAATAATATAATAATAATAAATTTAATTCAATAATATAATCAAACCAAAAACACTGAAATTTGAAATATAGTGCCAAGGTCGCACATCACTGAGCAAAGTCGCAAAATTGTTTTCAGTGTCTGATGGCGAATTTCCCCATAAATCATTATCACTCAATTCTGCAAGTGGTTCTGATTTACTATCGCTGTTCTCTAGCTGGTCTAAAACCGCTTTTGACCTAAAGGGACGCTTTTTGGACACCATGGACATTTCTCAGTTTCCAAGCAGAAAGAACAGTAAAAATGCAGGCAGGGCGCAGGACAAAGCACTAGGGACAAAATGTATGTGAAATGGTTTGATACAGTAATGTTTTACTATGTGATTTTAGTGTATTCAGTGAATGTCACTTTTTGTCATTTTCAAATTTCCCGCCAGTTCTGTCCCCCGTACGTCCCGACGCTCGCAGAGGATGGAACCCAAATGACAGATGCCGGCATCCGCCGGATTACATTGCCGGGGACACTGCAGGAGGGACATTGCGGGAGCGCAGGACAAGGTAAGTGAAGAACAGATGCCGGAGCAGCGCCGCATGGTAAGCCCGAGTGTAGCTCGGGGGTACCGCTTTTGGTACTGAAACTTTACCCCGAGCTACACTCGGGAATACCGTCAGGGAGGCTACAGCTAGCCTCACATCTCTGAGGGCGATGCTGCTGCAGATTGGCACAATAATCCATGCAGCCGCACCACCCACACAGAGGATTGCGGACCCGCGGGCAGGTGCCATTAATTCTAATTCTCACGCCGCCCGCACTGGAAATTGCAACCGTACTGGGAACCGAGGTTCCCGTGCGGGCTGCGTTTTCCGAAGACATGCAGGGACTTCTTCCCTGCGTGTCCCAGGGTACTGGAGTCCATTCAAATGAATGGGCTCTCGTGCCCGCGCAAAACGCAGACTGCAGGAACGCGGATATGTGAACCAGGGGTTAAGGCTGCTCATCTTTTTCTAGTAAACTGATGCTGCATGGTCTAATTTAGGTTTCTCTAATGTTCAGAACAGCATGACACTTGTCCTCCTTACCAAAAAGATCAATGTTGACTGTGGTTCACAGGTTAAATTACAAATTACAGTGGGTCATGCAATACAGCTCAGGGACTGCCTCAGGGGCACAAAATGGTTTCTAATTATTTCTGGAATGAAAGTAGAAATAGTAGCTGTTTGTACAATGTAGCATTGTAATTATATTTTCTCCTCTTTTTTTAAATGAAAATTGTACACATATTTTGTGTCAATTTCATAGATTTAGTCCAGTACTCTGATGTGTGAAACAGCATACTACCCAACTTTGGACCTGTCCAGTGTGTGTATATATATATATATATATATATATATATATGTGCTGGACCGGAAGCGGTCATACCAGGATCATGGCTGCAGCTGCAGATTTCGCACTTTGAGCCTGATTTCACACTTTCCAGCTTCAGTAAATAAACCCCTACATGTTCGAGGAAAATTATACTGTCACTACGTTTTATCAAGCACTGTGTATCAAAAATATTTTTGAATGAAATACATGTTTTCACCATCTCCTTGCCACACACTTCAGTGATGACTACATAGCATTTCTCAGGATGGGTTTCCTGATGGTGATAACAGCGGACCATGTCTGTATGATGTGCGATGACACAGCGACTTGTAGTCCCTATCCGAAGCATGTGTGATAGGCTGACGATGCAGAAGCATAGCTGGGAAACAGGGACAGAACACTGTCATCATGTAACAGGAATTGCCTGAACAGGGGCCCTCAAGGCAGGATCACCAGGTATTATTTTGGTGAAAGCTGCAGATTTAAAAATGTCTTTCAAAATGATGTTAATAAGTTGAAGATTATATGAGATTTTAATGAATGAGTTTACACATACAATACTTTAACATTGTTTTTTTTTTTTTGCACTAGGAACATTTAACCAGTTGCTATAGCAAGATGATACCTGGTGAATAAGTACAGAAGAATAGGTGTGCAGTTACATTTGTTACATTGGAGGAGATTTACCAAAGCTGGTTCCCTCAGTATCTGGTGCAGCTGTCCATGGTAGCCAATCAGCTTCTAACCTTCAAACCGAGCTCCTAGTTTTCCCCCCCAGCCCGCGCCCCCCCCCCCCATCCTCTCCATCACGACTAACAACGCCACCATCAATCCCACCCCACATGCCAAAGTCCTAGGTGTCACTCTAGACTCAAACCTTTCCTTCCAACCTCATGTCCAATCACTATCAAATTCATGCAGGCTCCACCTCCGCAACATCTCCAAGATACATACATTCCTCACCCCAGACACTACTAAACAACTTGTTCACTCCCTTATTATCTCACGCCTGGACTACTGCAACTCCCTTCTCACTGGCCTACCCCAACACACGCTATCCCCGCTCCAGTCTACCCTGAACTCAGTGGCCAGACCCATCCACCTTACCAACCGCTCCTCTTCTGCCTCCCCCCTCTGCCAATCCCTTCACTGGCTCCCGATTGCCCAACGCATTAAATTCAAATTACTAACTCTGACATACAAAGCCATTCATAACGTTGCCCCAAACTACCTCACCGACCTGATACCCAAATACCACCCAACCCGTACTCTTCGCTCCTCACAAGACCTCCTACTCTCTAGCTCCCTGGTCTCCTCCTCCCACGCCCGACTGCAGGACTTCTCCCATCCTCTGGAACTCCATCCCCAATCCATCAGACTGTCACCTACCCTCCTCACATCATCAGGCGCACCCTGAAAACACATCTCTTCAGGGAAGCCTACCCCACCCTCACCTAACAGCCGTTCTCCTCCACTCCTCCTACCGCTCCATCCCCCACAGCCCACCTCCTCCTGTACCACTATCCCCTCCCTCCTAGATTGTAAGCTCCAAGAAAACAGGGCCCTTGAACCCCTCATATATTGTTTTGTTACTGTTTTGTCTCATGTACTGTCCCCCCACTTTAATGTACAGCGCTGAGCAAACCTTTTGGCGCTATATAAACACTGAATAATAATAATAATAACCTCAGCTTGTTCAATTAAATTCAATAAAACCTGGAAGCTGATTTGTTTCCATGCAGAGGTGCATGAGATTCTGAGTGAACCAATTTTAGTAAATAAACCCCATTATGCCAAAATACATTGTTGCTTATTTACTGTGTAATCCCATGTGAAGTATATTTGCACACGTGTCTAATTTTTTTGCATTTTGTGGTTTCCCAGTTCCAGAAACATATCTCATTCTGGCAGTACACAGCAGGATCAGCAACCTTTTCCACATTACGTGTCAGTTTACAACAGGCATGTCAGTGAACAATAGTGTAGCATAGACTTATAGCATATTTTCAGTTTTTGCATGCATAGTTGTACTGTAAATTGAGCTCAGTTATTAAATTACCAGACACACACACAAAACATCTTCATATTGTGGCAGTACGTTGCCCTGCCAGGGTCTAAAATTAGTTGTTGTCCCAGGATTATGAACTAGGCAGGTTGATGGTCTCCAGGGAGCTTTTGTCATGCAGAGGAAACTGGCTTTTCTGTTTCCTCATTGCTTAGTAAAGTCAGTTTTGGGACCAGGAGCTCAGAGATTTCGCAGTGATCTGGGAGGAATTAAATCTCCAATCCTGGGTCCAGGTTTTTGGAACCACCAGCACACTAATTGGTCGGGTGAGTGCTAGGCTTTTTTGAAGTGATCTGACCATGGTTCTGGACTCCACCCCAGCAGATGGGAGAGGTCTTTGCCCAGGAGCCAGAAGGAATCCACCTAGGAGAGATGGTGGGAGCCAGAGCAGAAAGGGGCTGCTAGGTATGTGCACTGAGTTATGTGTAAAGTGCTGTGCTGAAGCCAGGAGGCTGAATGTCCTTTATTTTGTTCATGGAAGAGCAATACGGAATACCCCTGTGAGGGAGACTCATGTTTTGATGTTTATATGAACTTTTAATAAAATTGGGCAAGAAAAGACCTTAAAAGAAGGAGTCCTTAAAACTCTACAGTTTTATGCTAGTTCACAATACTTATCTTTAAGGTGTACAGTACATACAGTCTTAGGACTCTATCATACGAAGGGTCTAATAGGTCAGCCTGTCAGTTTATCAGGCGGACCTGATCAAACAGTTTATTCATCTCTATGGATGGGGGTGTAAATGGACTTGTGTCAGTTTACACCCACCTACCTCTAGTCCAATCCAGTCAGTTAAAAAAATCAAAAGGGGATCCATCCTCCTTTGTCAAGGTGGATTCAGAGGGCAACTGGGTGTAATTTGACAGTGGAGGCTGTTTACTCCTGGCAGCCAACAGAGTAGAGCTGGCTCTGTCCGCGTCTGCTCTGCATAAATTAAATGGACATTTATGGCTCATGCTTTGCTCTGATCAGCCAGAGATCAGCGGACAGATCCCTGGCTGATCAGAACAGAGCCCACCCTGACTGAAAGGGGCCTTAGTGTGATCCCTGTCCCTACCTTTACAGTTTTAGTTGGCCATATATTAATAATTTTTTTCTGTTCAAATAGCGGGTTGAACGAAAAAAAAAAGACCTTATTCCCCCATTCCCTCCCGCTGTGCTATTTTTTTTCTATCATCAAAACACACTGATCAGCACTGCTGGCTAAAACCGGTGGCAATAATTGTCTAGGAAAAACTCTGACAGACTGGTTGTACAGATGCGAAAATAGACATGGAGTTAGAGTTTAACCTCTTACCTACAAGAGTATATATATGTGGCCTCACGGAATTGGGTCTTTATCTGCGGTGCCACGTATATGAGCCACTGTGTTTGACCTTAGAGCATGTCGCACTGTACTACAGGTACAAGCAACAAACAATATACACATATGTGTTATCCCAGCGATCCTCAGAAGTAGAATTTTATTTTGAGTTCTTTAGTGGCAGGTTATGGTAATAGCAAAAAATACAAACAAATGGCCATTGCCCCAATCTATAACTGGCCCTCACAGCAAGGAGCACATGGAGGGGTGACACATGTCAAACAATAAAAGAGAAATATTCCCAGCTCAACTTACAGACCCGTTTGCAAACAAACCGTATTGTCCTGTCAAACAGTTTTGCATTAAAAAGATTGGGGCCGTGGCCATTTGTTTGTACTGTTGATATACTGGTGAGGAGATGCACTGGACATCTTGGCTGTCCCTGTGCTATATGCTGGGTGTCCAGTGCACCCCTGTACCTTTTAAGGAGGGGTGGGCTCCCTCAGGCTCACCTGCGCTCAGTCTATCCATTATGATACATGTTCTTCTACTATGGGGGCTCTCAAAATTTATATAGTTAGGAACTACAGAATATTGGGCTGCCATGAAGGGGCTCTTCAGTTTACGCATGTATTTGCAAATGTGTGCTAACTAAACCCCTTTTTTTAATGCAAACTGTTTGACAGGACAATTCGGTTTGTTCACAAGCTCGTCGGTAAGTTGAGCTGGGAATTCTTCTCTTTTATTGTTTTGAATATCAAAAAATGTACAGCAACATTTAAAAGAAAATATATTTTTCTGCTTTATGCCAGTTTGCCTTTGGTAATAAAACAATCAGAAGATATCCATTAATATTTACCACCAAATAAAGCAAATTTGTCCTGAAAAAACAAGGTATAGTCCACCTGGATACAGTTGCAATGATATGCACAGTCATACTAATATTAGAGTTGCAAAACCGTGTTCAGGTATTAAAATTTTGTCTTACTTCGGTCATGAAGGGGTTAAAGTGTTTCTAAAGGGTAGACATTTTTTACCTTAATGCATTCCCTGCATTAAGGTAAAAAAAGTCCCTATAGTTGTAATATCCCCTTTTCCCCCTATGTACTTACCAGGGCCGGATCTAGTTGGTCTTCTATGGGGCTGCAGTAAAAAATGTCAGGGGGGCAGAGGATAGGAGGTCAGCAGTGGAGTGTACTGGGGGTCAGCAGGACAGACAACAGGAATTATCAGAGCAAAGGGCAGAGATCAGCAGTTGTAGGGAAGTGTACAGGGGGTCAGCAGGGCAGAGAATGGTCAGTCAGCAAAATTGAGGACAGGGATCAGTGTGGTAGTGTATTGCAGGAGTCAGCAGTTTGTAGGCCAGTGGACAAGGGGTCAGCAGAGCAGAGGACAAGGGTCAGTATGGTAGTCTATTGCAGGAGTCAGCAGTTTGTAGGCCAGTTTACAGGGGGTCAGCAGGGCAGAGGATGGTTAGTCAGAAGGAGAGTGGATAGGGGTCAGCAATGCACATGACATATGTTTTTTATAGGCAAACTTAGCCTCTAAACAGTATAAACAATATGCAAACATTGACAATATTAACAATACTCATAACAAGTAATCTGACTGGCTTTACAATTAAAAAGTCAAAGCAGGATGACAAAATGTGAGCAAGACTGGGATCATGAAGGACATGGAGCACCCTGGGAAAGAACAGAGAAATACATTCTGTGGCTGGCCAGTGGGAGGGTCTTAAGGGGGGAAAGAACAGAATCTGTGTCTGCTGTATACCATGCACACCTATACCACAGTACTCTTACCCATTAAATACTGTGCCACAACCGACAGTCTCAAAGACACAAACCTCAGGACAAAGAAACATTTTTTTTAAATTAAATGTTTCCATTTCATATGTTTTTATGGACACATATGTTTTTATGGTGGCCATACGTGGATCAAAATTCTCTGCTTCAGTGGGGAGTCACTGGGGACTGGTTTAATTCCAATTGGTTTAATTCCAATCCATGTATGGGCAGGCTAGTTGTACAGAAGTCGATGTACTGATCAACTTCTGTACAATCATCCTCTAGGAAAATTTCTGCACAATCAGCACCGCCGACTATAGCTGGCAGCACTGATCAGTTTATTCTGGTAACACTGAAGTCTCTTCACTTTCAGAACACATTACCTCAGTGGTGGTGATTTTTTTTTTTTCATTCAACCCATTGTTGAAAAAAAAAAAAAAATGACTAATGTATAGGCTAATGTATTTTCTGAGTCTTTCTTTAAAGAATAACTTCATTAAAACCAGTACAGAGTACAGGGGTCAGGAGTAAGTAAAAAACAAAACATATGGAGTGTAGAAGTCAGGACGAGCATCACGTTGGGGTGTA